ATTTTATTTTATTATATATATTTTTACTCACATCTAAATAACAAGAAACAACAATGGCACAATTGGTAAGGGCGTTGTATAGTATAGGTAAGGGCGTGGGTTCGAGTCCCAATTTTGTCAATTTCTTTTGCTTTTCAGGATTTACGCGCAAGTTCATAATATCCTGATTGGTAGCCATCTCTAAACACAAATAAGACAATGGCCTGATGGACAAAGCCTTCACCTATAACCTCCAGGGGGTGGGTTCAAGTCCCACCCCATGCATTTGTTTTTTCCTATTTTACTAACCCTAGTTTTTTCACTATATTTTTCTAATTATTTTCTTATTAACCACTAACAAACATTAACCCTTAACCAAATTAGGCTTAGGTTTTTTAATTAACTAGAATTAGGGTTTGGCTTTTTAATTAATTAATTAATTATACCTTAGGTTTTAATTAAAATTAATTAGTTTTAGGATTTTAGCCAAATAATTCTTCTTAATTAATTAGATGTTAGGGTTTCTAATTAGGGTTTTAGGTTTTTTTAATTAACTTAATTAATTAGTTATTAGGTTTTAATTATCATCCCTAACCCTAAATCATTTTCTAAAAACACAAACATTTAAAAAAAATTCTAACATCTTTTCTTATTTCTTTTGCTAGAACAAGTGTATAGGTTTGCACAACTGATGTAATAGCATAAATTTATCTTTTCTCGCATTTTTCTAATTATGTAACTACTCACAGGATTTAATAACTTAGGTTTTATTTTCCGCACATTATATTTTATCACTGCTAGTAAAATAGGGTTTGTATGGAAAGACTAATAAATGGACATAGATAACCCTAAATTTAAAGACTAAATAACTGAAACTAATACACTTTGCACACTTCATCTCTAGGGTAACCTCTCTTGTTGCCTTACAAAACATTGGTCATGTCCCTCAAAAGTAAGGATACTTTAGCAAAATACCCTCGATCAAATCATCATGGTCCCTTTCGAATAAAGATCATAGTCCCTCAATGACCCTCCGAGTTGCCTACGAAATGATCTAGTCCCTTCGACGACCCTACACGCAAAATGATCATAGTCCCTCTGATACAATTGCTAAAGTATCCTTACATGTTGCATTCGATGACCATATGATGACCCTACGGTTGTCCCTTCACATCCAATAGATATGATTACCTACCAAATAATGGTATGGATAATGCTATCTCCAAAGGAGAAGGAAAATAACAAGAAAGACTTAGTGGGTAGGACTCTTGAATGCTTACTCACAAACAAAACATTTTCTACACATCACTTTCAAAACAAATATTTTCAAAAACACTTTGTATACATTCTTGAGGACCGACACAAAGATTATTATAAAGTTAGCCTTACATTGGAATTTCAAAATATTTTTAAACAAATCACACACACACAAAGTAAGTTTTTAAAAGTGAGCTAAGAAAATAAGAGCCCATAGATAACTACGGATGAAAATGGTGCTAACACCTTCCCTTGTCATAACTTACCCCCCGAACTCAAAATCTATCAAAGGTCTTTCCTGTCTTTTCACCTTTCCTAAATATTGGATAAAAGAAAAGTCGGTGGCGACTCTTGCTAACCGTAACATTTTCGATAAACCAAAAAAGTCAGTTCTTCCACCGTATTACAAAGGGCTTACCAGTTTAATCAAGAAGGTCGTTCAGATGGGGAGTATTCTTGTTTTTCTGTAGAAGGAAAATATAAGGTTGATGTGCTTCAGTTTGTGGATGATACGTTGTTAGTGGGAAATGGTGTTGCGAGGTTTCGAAGTGGGAAATGGTGTTTGTGGATGATACACTGTGGTCTCTTAAGGCAGTGTTGTGAGGTTTCGAAGTGGTGTCGGGGTTAGGTGTTAAATTTCATAAGAGTAGTATTATTGGTGTCAATTTGGGTTCGCATTTTTCTCTTAGCGGCGGATAATTTTCTTTCTTGCAGGTTAGAGAATAATCATTTCACTTTCCTTGGTATTCCCATTGGATCAAATCATGGGAGGGTGTCATGGTGGAATCCAATGATTACTAAGATGAAGAAGCGTCTTGTGGTGTGGAAAGGAAAGTTCCTCAGTTTAGGAGGAAGGATCACTTTGATCAAATCAATTTATCAAGTTTTGCCATCTTTCATTTATCCTTTTTTAAAGCACCTGCAAAAGTTTGCAAGACGATGGAGCAGGTTCAAAATAAGTTTATGTGGGGAGGCTTCTCCGAAGAAAGGAAGATGCATTGGGTTCAGTGGGAATTGCTCTATCTTTCTCTAGACAATGGAGGGTTAGGATTCAAGAGTTTCAAAGAGTTTAATGAGGCACTTCTTCTAAAGTGGAGTTGGAAGATTTTGTAGGAGAACAATTCTCTTTGGTTGGATGTTTTAGAGGCGAGATATGATCATTTGAAACACCAAATTCTGACCGAAGCTAGCAGGGTCAATTACAAGCCTAAATCAGTGTGGTGGATGGATATATTTTAAAATTGAGTCCAAATTTCCTAGTCAGATTTTCACCCATAACTGTTGTTTCTCACTTGGCAGTGGCGTTGGTATTCTGTTTTGGAGTGCGGTTTGGCATGAATGGAGTAGCTTGATGGGGGACTATCATGATCTCTATAGAAGAAATTGTTTGAAGGATGCTAGTGTGGATTCGATGGGGAAGTGGACGGAGGATAGGTGGGTTTGGGGCAGGTTCGATATTCCAACCGTGAATTTCCCTATTATTTCTGCAGTTTTTTTTCAAATGCATAATTGTTTGGCAGAAGCTTTTTCGGTCCCTGCGGTCGGCGATGCAATAACGTGGAATCTAGATATGGTCTTGGGTTATTCGACGAAGAGTGGCTGTGAATTGTTGTTCAATTTGAAATTGTTTGTTGTTTTAGAGGAAGGCATCCTATCGATTCCTGGTTCAATTTAGAATTCTCATGTTCCGTTTAGGATCAAAACATTTTGGTGGAGATGCTTGTGGAATAGAATTCCTTCAAGGGATCATCTTCTTCAAAGAGTTTAGCAACCTTCTTTGGAGAGAAATTTCTTCTTGGTGTAGTTTCACGTTTCACACAGGGGTCGAATTTGATCTACTTTGAATGATTGGTCTATTTAGGCATGAAATTAGGGGTGCAGAAAGATAAAGTTTGTTCCATTTGGTTGGTGGTAGTTTGGAGTATTTGGTGTCTTAGGAATAACGTTATCTTTAACGGTTTAAGTCTGTCTATTTTCGATTTAGGGTGGGATATTATTGAAAGTTTAGAAATGGTCCGTATTGGAAACATTTTCACTATCAAATATAACTTTTATGATTTCTGCAAAGAACCTTTAGTTTATCTGTGTTAAGTTTCAGTTGGTAGGTTGGGTCTTTCCCGAGCTTTGTCATCGGTCTTTTGTAAGCGGGTTAGAGTATCCATAGTACTCTCTTAATCTATTCCCGGCTTATAAAAAATATTATAACATGTAAGAGTTTAATATACAATAATAAAGAGGATGAAAAAATAAGTTTGTTAATTAGCTTGAGTTTGTTATATATCACCCGCATTCCTAACATTTTGATTACAAAGTTGTTAGAGAGTTTTATCATCTTTGTCTAAATATCGTTTCCCCTTCAATGTTACCAAATAGTCTCTCCTATCCTTTTTATAAGAGAAACTTTATTTTTAAAAATTTATTGAATAATTAATATACCTGATATGTATTATAGACCAAATATATTAATTATTTAATAAATATAAAAAAGTAAAGTATTTTTTATAAAAAGTACATGAGAAAGTATCTATATATCTTCAACCCACTTTATTCACCCTTTTCATACCAAACTAGTTCACTCACAACCCATGTTCAATAATAATCATGCAAAACATAGAACATGCATCACATTATATGGGATCCAAAACGGACATGCATGCATGTGTATTTTCTAATTATTAATACATCTCATTCTTTTTTTTAATCAACATTATAAACCTTGGTTTATGCAATTACTAATTTTCAAAATTTAAGAAAAAATCATAATTAACTAAAAAAAAACTATTCAAGTTCTAAAATAAGCTTGACAACAATATTCTAGTCTTTCACTAATTTATGGATGGCACAATGATCACTAATTTAGCTAATGTTTATAAAGCATTGAATGATAAACCAGTTTAGTAAATTACATGCTAAAGTTTTGGAAAGAACCTTAATTAACTTAAGCAATTAAGAACCATAGAACAAGAAAATTATAAATATCAAAGATTTGAAGATGGTCAACAAATACATAAATTGACTTTAGAAAGAAGCCACCACCACGTTGCGTCCGAACCAAGACGCACACTGGACGGTGTTTTCACCTAACCTAACGGTGGGTCCCATTTCATTCCCGAACCGAATTAGGTTCGGAGTTCGCTTTCCCCTTCTATAAATTCACGTTCGCGATTTTTCCTTCAACGCGTGAATCTCTCGGTAACGAAAATTTCTCAGGTGAGTTTTTCCTTTTTCTTCGTTGTTTCGTAAATTCGATTTGTTTCTGTTCTTGTGATTGTGTGAAAATTGAATTTGTGATTTGTTGAATAAACCGCTTAATTTGATTAATCGACTATCAGAAACTATTCGAATTCAACTTTTCATGTTTGAATTTTAAGATTCGCCTTTTTTTTGTTTTTGTGATTATTTTATTGCTTGAATTTAACCGAATTTTACTCTAACTAGTCAAAAGAGAGATGAATTTGAATTTTCATCTCAGATCTAGCTTTTTTCTGACCTAATTTTGTTCTTCAACTTGTAAAAATAATCACAATCGGTGAATCATCAAGATTTGTTTCTTGTCTATAAATTTATATATCTATGAAATTAATGAAATTTGAATGATGATGATGATGATGAAACCTGTTGATATAATTTTTTGTAGCAATTTGTTCATACTCAATGATTATGATTGAAATTTGTTGTTGTTTAGAGTTAGGTTTAATTTTTAGGGTTCTTGATTTGTTATTAACATTATTGATTTGTGGTGCAGACAAAGGAACAAAATCAAGATGGCATTAGTTTCTGGAGGAAGATCAACCCTAAACCCGAATGCACCTCTTTACATTCCGGCTGCTTTTCGTCAGGTGGAGGATTTTTCTCCGGAATGGTGGCAGCTGGTGACGACACTGACATGGTACCATGACTACTGGCTTAACCAGCAGCATGATGATGAAGGCTTCTTCAATGAATTTGACGGCAACGACGTGGTTGATTTGCTTCCTGATGCATTTGATCTTGATGTGAATGATGATGATGATGATCTTTCTATTGAAGCGCAGCTTGAAGAGTTTATCAAGTCTTCTGAAGCTCAAGAAGAAGCTTTTGCAAAGAAATTTACTGGATGAGGCGAAGATGGAGGTTGCAATATATCTTACTACCAAAGAGGCTGAATGCGATGGCTTTGGGTCATTTAGATAATGTACCACGTCAGTTTTAACTTTCTGTAACTTTTGTATAGGCAAGGTTTCGACGTTCCTTCTTTAGTTACCCAAATCTATGGTAAATAGAGAGAAGGAGAAGAGAGAGAAAAATGTAAAAAATATTTGTAGTATTGTTGTAAGTGCTGCTATAAGTAATATGACAAAAGGAAAAACAAAATCAAAAATGAAGTCAGGATTTGTTTCAAATTTCGTATCACTACACCATACCACCTTCTATGTCTACAAGCAATCAATTAAACAATACTAGTACCAATCCGATATAGATCATAGGACTCTAACAAATTAACATTATAATATTGATCCCCGTTGCTTTTATGTATCAAAAACTTCTTCAACTTAAGCAAATTGTTTAATTGTTATTGTCATATACTCCATCTGTTTCAAAATTATTATTATTTTCATAAATAAATAAATAAGGTGTGTTTGGATTGACGGTAGATAAAATTGATTCTAGCATAATTGAGTTCGATAGATTTGATTTTAATATAATTGAGTTTAGCCGAATTGATTTATGTTTGGATAGATTTATGTAAAAAAAATTTGAATAATAAATTTCAGTGTAAAAATCATCCAAAATTATTTCTTAAGACATAAGCTATAAATTCTAATTTCAAGTAAAATTAATTATGAAGTTAAAGACAATTCTACTTGTCACTTTCACTTTTCAATGTAATAATGATTACTATTTTTTCAATTGTGTCTTTTATTTTTTATTTTCTACACTAGTTTCAATACATTAATAGAGTTAGTTTATGTGTAAAAATTTTAAACGACTGTCATTTTAAAACGAAAGGAGTATAAAATAAAGTCATAAATATTATAATTATAAAAATTCAATTAAAGTTATAAATTTTCAATGTATCTATTATGTCGAGGGAAATATATTAGTGCATATCCATCATAAGTTGACCTAAAAAACAAAGTGTGATTAATAGTTGTTCTGGACTGGACCGGCATTTGCTCCATTGTTAGGAAGATCCAATCCAGCGTCTTTATCATAGGTCCAAAAGCATACAGTCTAAACTGAGAACTATTGGGCATTTTTTCAAGTGTCTACTAGGAGAACGCAACTTACGTGTCCATATCATCATCGTCATGTCCTCCGAGAATAACGGGTCCCGCCCCTGCTTTCTCGAGACATTTGACCAGGGAGGAGGCCAGGTGCTGGACTCCATACACCCATAAACCCTAGTAGTCTTTGTTGTTGGGCGTCATCGTAGCCTATCACTGAAGATCTTGGCCCAGCGTTGAGGGCTATAAATATCTTCTCACTTGAGGAGGTCAGGTGTTCAATCACTCACTCATACTCTCATACTTGCTTGTATTTGCTCTGAACCTTACTTTGGCATGAGAGTGTCTTGCAGGTACCCCTTCCCCCACTTTACATTCAATTATTTCTCAATTTGAAACTTGTAGGCTTTGACAATCCCTTCTGATCAGGTACGATCAGTGGCACCGTCTATGAGAATCCAACTTCCTCGTCTCCCTCTCAAGACCAAAGCAACTCTTCATCAAACCGTACGATTGTCATGGCCGACCAAGCTGTCGATAATAACCAAAATGCTTATCTCGCCGACCACAACAACATTGGCGACAACAACACGAGCAACAACATCGACATGGTTGGTCCCGAGCAAAACTACTGAGACAGACTGACCGCCTCTTCATCAACCCACTCGCAACCGCGCGAGGAAGATTATCATCCTCCACAAAACTATGAACTTAATACATATCAGGAGGTCCCCGTCCCTCCAGGTGATGAAGCCACGACCAGAGCTCTATTCGCGGCCATCAACCAGACCAACTACGTGATCTTCTCACAGGGTGAGCAGTTGATGATGCTCAAGCAGACTCGTCAGGCTCCCATAAGACACAAGAGATCTGACACTCCTCCCCGGAGGAACGAGGACCTTCTCTGATCTCCCCCGCGAAGACACGAACGGGACGGCTCGCGAAGCCCTTCTCCCAAACGAACTGGGCGAGACTCTGCGTTGGAGAGGAGCTAACTCGAAGCTACGAGGAGGCGCGATCACCCCCCCCCCCCCCCCCCCCCCCCGCACAGAGAAGGACGATCCCCTAAGCATAGAAGAAACATGGGAAATGAAGAAAGAAAATCTCGGTCGAGGTATCCTCCTTGTGGCCAAGACCGTCACAACGACCACCACTACAACTGATCCCCTTCCGCTCCCCAGACAGAACCGACGAAGACGATCCCCGCGTTCTATTATCCCAAGCTATCATGGAGGCTCTCATTCCTAGGGGAATGTAGAAACCTCCCCTACTAAAGGAGTACGACGGTGTTGCTGATCTTGTCGACCACATCGACGGATTTGAAGCGATGCTCCACTATCATAACTTAGGGGGGGGAATTAAATACAGGTTATTCCCCATGACACTGAGAAAAATAGCCATGGACTGGTACAAGAACCTCTCCCTCTCCCCCGGGCCGATCACCTTCTGGAAGAGCCTCAAAAACCAGTTCATCAACAGCTTCATCGTGTCTCGTCGACATCTCAAGTCTGAGGCCTCCCTCGAGGAAATCATCCAGAGAAGCGACGAAACCCTCAGGGAATACATTGATCGATTCAACCGCGAGACCATTCAGGTCCCATGCGCCGATCACATGAAAATATACCTGCTCGAGAGGGAACTCCTTCCGAGCACTGAATTTAGAAAGGTCGTCGACATTGATCCCCCCGGGTCTTTTGACACTCTCCTCGAAAAGGATCGGGCATACATGGACTACGAGGAAAAAGAAGCAGCCAATAGAGCCTGTAATTTGAGGAACCACGGACCAGCTAACATTTCGTGGAACCAGGACGCGGGCCCTTCTCCACGAACTGGGGAGAAGAAAAGGGAGGAGAAATCGCGTGATTCCCGCGAGCATAGAGGACCAGCAGAATGGTTCACATAATACACCCTGTTGACCGCTTCCTGCGAGCGTATCTTGCAGAGTGCTCTAATACCAAGTTCAAGGACGGCGGCGTTAGACGTCCTCGACTCGCTCTTGTAAAGCCCGGGGCAGACAGAACAAAATATTGTCAGTACCATCGGAGCCACAAGCACTTGACGGAAGGCTACGTCCACCTCAAGGATTCCATCGAGACTCTCGTCAAGGGTGGGAGACTCGGGAAATACAGACGAAACAATGCCCCTCACTGGAATACCCGTGAGGTAAAAGAAATCGAGGAAGAAACTCGACCATCTGATGAATCGGGTCCCTTCAGGTAGCTTTCTCCGTGACGATGCCCGAGGACTTCCACGTGCCCGTCAACTATGAAGATAAACCCTTGTCCACACACAGTAGATGGGAGAAATTCCCCTCTGCCACGGTCATATCTGGAGGGGGATTCAACGATATCTCAGTAAATTCAGCGAAGAGGAAACTCGACGAATTGGTGGACACTGTCCCAACCCAGGCAGTAACCCTTGAAAGGTTCAAGGGAAAATCTGAGTCAATCACTTTCTACCTTGAGGAGCTTCCCAGCGGAGCCCCAAACCCAAGCATTCCCCTGCTGGTGAAGGCGAGGATGGCCAACTTCGATGTACATCACATTCTGGTCGATGAGGGGAGTTTCATCGACGTCATGTATAGTCACATGTTTCATACCTTGCAGCTCGACGATACCCACCTATCACCATACGTGGGGTTTGACCTAAAAGGATTCAACGACTCGACCTCCAAACCTTAGGGCTACGTTGAGCTCTTTGTCACCTTCGGGGAAGAAACTGTATCCCGACAAATCAAGGTGTGGTTTCTGGTGATCAATTGCCCGTCTCTTTACAATTGTATCCTGGGAAGGCCAACACTGGCCAAGCTGACCATTGTACCCTCCACGGTTCACTTGAAAAAGAAGTTCTACACCAGGAGGATCCACGTTGCCACCATCCACGAGGACACCTTAGCTGCCAGGAGATGTTTTCAGGCGGCTTCCAAAGGAAAAAGCATAGTCAACACTGGAACACGACCTGGCAAAAGAGCAACCACTGCTCGACTTGAATCGAAGCCTGCTCATATCGAAGAACAGCAGACTCCACCAAAGGTCAACTCCATTTTGTTCGACACCCGCTTTGACAAAGATGAAGTCGAAGCCCCCAATGGAGAACATGATCCTCTCCGACCCATCCCATACGAAGACTTCGAGTATATCCCCCTCGGTGAAGACCCTCGCAAAGGCGTGAAGATCGGCGCTGGACTTCCCGACCTAGAGAAGAAGAAACTCAAAGCCTGCTTGAGGGAGAATGCTGACTTGTTTGCATGGATATTATGGAGATGCCCGAACTCGACCCTGAGGCCGCCTGTCACCAACTCGTCGTTGATCTAGCCGCTAGGGCAGTAGTGCAACATAGGCATAGGCAGTCTCCCAAAAAAACGGAGGCTGTTGAAAAAGTTGTAAAAGACCTCCTAGAGACAAATTTTATTTATGAGGCCCAATATTCAACCTGGATCTCAAATGTTGTACTCGTAAAAAAATAATGATGGAAAATGGCGAATGTGTGTTGATTATACTGATCTTAATAGGGCATTGTCCCAAAGATGCTTTTCCTTTACCTAACATCGATATGTTGGTCAAAAACTCGGTCGACTATAAAATTTTATCATTTTATGAACGCCTACTCGGGCTATAACCAAATTCCTATGGCAATGAGCGACAAACATTGCATCGCCTTCATAACCGGCTCGGGCAATTACTACTACAACGTAATGCCCTTCAGCCTAAAAATGAAGGGACAACATACCATCGGATGATGAACAAAGTCTTCCGCACGAGATAGGAGACATGCTCAAGCTATACATGGACGACATGATCGTCAAATCTTGAACAGAAACAGACCATGCTTCCCACCTCAAAAGAGTCTTCGCCCAAGCAAGGCAATGCAAAATGAGATTGAATCCAGAGAAA